TGGCATCAAAGGGGAAGTCTGTGTCTCCTGTTATGCAAAATCATTGAAATGGGAAAACCTTTTCAATTCATCTCAAGTATAACCAAAATCTTATTTAAATGAGAATTTCATTAATATTTGTTATTTTGTATTGTCTGAAAATCGTCTTAAAATAATTTATTAACTATTATTTCTTAAGAGACTTTTGTATTTCGCATGAAATGCTTACAAATATTATATTATATAATTTATATAACTAAAGCTTTTTTCAAAACGAGTCTATTTCCTCAATGATCAGTCACAATTAAATATATATTTGCATTTAATTACAATTATTAGACACACAATGCTTTTATCCATTTTTAGAAATAACTCATTAGTTGTCATTTTATGATTGTTTATAAGAAGTTTAAATTTATTAACTTTTTTGTTATAATCGAGAAATTTTTTTTGTAATAAATAATAACTTGATAATTAGTTATTGTTATTGTTTTTAATATAAAATAACAATTGATAGTAAAAATATTTATTTACACTATCTATAATTAATTGTTGTCAAAAACTTTTGTTTTCCTTATTATTATTATTTGTTTGAAACTAACAGTAATTACTAATTAGACAGCAATTGTTTCGCATATTTTCTAATCGTACAAAACAAATGCAATCAATAATCTGAATTAATTGTCAATATTTGACTGCACTTTCATTTGACACACTTTTCTTGAAATTAGATTATTTTTCACAAAATATTCACTGATTTAACGATTATTATAACTAATTATTTGACTTTAAAATGACAGATAACAACATTGAACGCACCGTTAGCTATAGCCCTACAACTGATAGACAACATAAAAAGTCCAATTTTCAAAGGATTGGCCAAATTTGCGCTCAACCAACTCAATGAGGACTTCTTTGTGGTGAAGTCTGTGAAGGAGCTGTTATTTGACGGATACCCCGATTTGTTGACCAAATTGGCGCCATTCCTCGACCCGAAGATCCCATTCCAGCCCTCATTCGGTTGGATGTACGGCAAGAACGAGTCGGACGACGGCCTCTTCAAAGTAAATACCGGCAAATCAGACATAAGTCAAGTGAATGAGATCGAGACACTCAATGGCCTCCCGGAGCTCACATTCTGGTCGGCCAATCGATGCAATTCACTAAAAGGTGCCAAAAATGGCGAACTCTTTAACCCAATCCCCGATACCGATAAAAAGTTGCTATTATTTCGCACAAATTTCTGCAGAGTCTGGGCCTTAGTCTGGGAGTCGGCCCATAAGTCAACATACGGTGGACTTCCAGTCTATCGCTATTTTCCGGCCGACAATACTTTTGCTAATTCGTCGGACTATCCGCCAAACAGTTGCTATAAACCCAACGAAAACATTAGTTTCACTCAATCTTTAGATGATATCGACGCCACTGATGTGACAGCACTTCTACATCGCGTCAGACATGTTGTGAACGATTCAGAAGTGTTGGAGTTTTTGGAGGAAACCTATTTAAGTGAGTGTTTTGTGTTCATTAAAAATAATTATTTACATCAATACTGAATTGATTTTAATTAAATTTATTTCCAACAGATTATACAATGAATGGATCACAAAGTGTTGATGTGGTGAAGGAGTCGCAACATGTGTCCCAATTTCGGGAGTTCCCTTCAGGAGTGTTTGGTCTGTCGGTGTGCTATTTCGGAGCGCCTATATTCATATCAAATCCACACTTCCTAAAGGCTGATCCTTATTATCTGACAACCGTTTCTGGTCTAAAGCCCGATTCAGACGCGCACCAGTCATTCCTCGACATTGAACCTCAAACGGGAACACCTATTGAACTCGGACTCCGGGTTCAGATCAATGTTTATATCAATTCACTCGCAGACTATTTTAAACAGTACAGGAAAATGCCTAAAATTCATGTACCAATTATGTGGCAGGAGTTCACAATACACGCCACCGACTCGATGGCCAACGACTTGTACTGGAAGCTGACGGCGCCCACAATCATCTCCACTACAGTCTCCTCACTGTTTGTATTGATCGGTGCACTGACTCTAGTGTTCATTGCATCCAAACCTGTGATCAAACGCTGTAAACATCGCCGGACGGGTGAAAACAATAGTGTCGACAGCCGTGGCGTTGAGACCAGTGATACCAGTGCTCTCATTGTCAACCACAATGATATTGATGGCCATTCTGTTGGTACATGATATGAGACCTTCCGATTATAAAGGTCTCCGTTGTCCTCAAAAGTGATTTGGATTTGATATATTATTTAATTTGAGGTCTTTATAGTCGACTGTTATTTTGTTTTTGATTATTTAATTGTAAATTTTGCGACAAGTCCTGTGCCACATAGCAACTGTATATTGAATGCAATAACTGAAAGTTATATTTTATATTACCGTATTATAAATGATAAATAACTGAATTTGAAATAAAATAAATTTACAAAAATTGTACAAATGTGCTATTTATAAGTTGTTTCTCAGTGTGTGACTTCTCTTAAATAGAAGTCTATTTTTAAATTTGAACGCAGATTTAAGTTTAAAACTTTTAAACCTATCCTTGAATTGCAATATTCAAAGGGTTTGTGTTCGTGAATACACACTACTGTTTAGACTCCTATTAAAACAACATTGGATATATTCATTTGATCTTTAGTGTAGAAATTATTAATTTTTTCATAAATATGGTTTAATTATTTACAGACCTTTTGAAATAGATTTTTATATGAAAACGACTAAAAATAATTGTTGATTAAGATCTCTTATGATAAATGTGTTTGTTTTATAAAACTAATGGATTTTTCATGGATCAGGTATTGTCTCATTTATTATAGCGTTATTACCGCATAATGTTGTTTTGTTTAACGATTTTTGCAAACGAATAATTATTTTGTCTGTAAGCTATCCATTATATCTGACATTTAGTGTGTATTTTATTGTTAAGCTCGTTGTGTACCACAATATAACTTGAGTTAAAGAATATTTATATTGATTATTATATCACATATATCTCATCCAATACTTTCCGGTAATAAAAACTAGTAAACTAGGAGTTCCTTAAACTTGAGGACATTGTCTGCGAAATACAGACTCCTATTCACTTTAAGTATGACTTATCGCTTGACTCTAAAAGATTTGGCATTAACTTCAGAAATTGTAGTTTAGATAAAAGGTTTATACGCGATAACCTCTTACCAAATATTGGCTAAAACACAAAATTCAAATTAATTTTATTAAGAAAGTTAATAAAATTATTATTCACAAAAAGGTCCTTAACATGGATTTCTTATATAACCAGTTAAACTATTGTATAGTTTATTTAGCTTTATAAAACATTTAACTATTAAATGTTATTTATGTTGAAATAAATAAAGTTAGATAAAAATCAAAATATCTTTCAAAAGTAGATAAAGATTTCAATAATTTCTAAATAAACTTTGCATCAGAAATCACTTTTAATTATTTGAATTTAATTTAATTTTATTATGAAATTTCTAGTATTACTTAAAGTTTTCAAGAATCTTGTTTCATATATTAATTTGTATTTCATTTCCTTATTTTAAATGAATTATTTTTTATTTGTTTTATATTTTGAATCTTGCAAAACATTAAAATAAATATAACCTTCAATTATAATTCATAACATATAATTCTTTATGAATATAAACTATCAAATTAAATTTTACACTGAAATTGACAAAATTAATTTAACTTCTATCGCATTAATGTTTAAAAGGTTTTTACACGATTCAAATGATAAACAATTTATAAGTTACTAAAATGATTAATAATTATATAATTTATATCCTTTGAACACAACAGTAATGAAACTGATATTGAAAGTGAAGATGAGGTGAGAAATGAGGAAAAACGGGAAAAAGTAGATTAACCTGAGGTTTGTCTATCACACGCCAAACACATGATTTTCACGAAATATAATTTTGGCAAACATTTCACATTCACAAACTTAGACTTCTCAAAAATATCCCACAATTATATACCGGTATATAAATGATTACAATTTGCTAACAAAACAACTTTCGAGTTTGTTTGCAAAGCATTTCAGTTTATTTTAATTTAAAATATAAGCAATATAATATAATTAATAATAATAATCATTAATATCATTAAATAAAATATAATTTATATAGGTTTGTTTTTATATTAAAAGTATAACAAAATTCTAAACATAAAGTTCAACAAAAGTGTCAAGTTAAGCATTTAAACTTATTACATTTATAACTTGGTAAGTTTTAAAAATTCAATTATTTTTTAAATCTCTATTTTACATAGACTTGTATTTATAAGATTATAAAATATTTATAAAACAAATTGTAAAAACGTTATAACAAACATTGTAACAGTCTTATTACATTGACTAGATCAGTTTTTGCAGACTAAACATAATGTAATAAAATATTATTTATATATTAATTTAGCAGATGAATCAGAAATAATATAAATAATTCTTATATTTACATAATTTTAATTTCGCATTTTATAGAAATTCAGCAAAATGGTAAAAGTATATCATAGATAAGTTGCAAAATTAACATCTGATAAATATTGAGACCAGAATAGAAACTATATTATACTTATGGAGTCAGAAACAACAAAAAAATAACGAAATGCCGATAAAATGAAATTCAATGTCAAGCTAGTGAACGAGATTAGTATTTAAATTAAGTAAAAAGAAAATTTATTCAAGACATTAATCAGTTTCTATGTTCACATCGACTCCGAAATATAGTTTATAGGATTCATAACCAGTTATACATTTGCATAACAAGTCATTTGATTAAATAATTTCTTACTTTCCAATTTTACGGAGTTTTGCAATTTTTGTTATAAGTTATAAATTGTATAAATGCGGAATTATTACTAATTATTTGTTCGCTATTGTAAGGTATTGAATGATATTTTCAATATTTTATAAATTACCATTAAACTAATTGCTTAATATTTCAATGCAATTGCAGTTCAAAAGTATCCACCAATTAGTGAATCCCATAATAATGTTCAATGAGTTCTCTGAGGAGGATCTGGTCTTAACACTGGATTTAGGCAAAGGATTAACAAATGGCAAAAAACATAAAACCGATGATATCATACAACTGAAAGTTTGCGAGTTATATAAGACTAAAATGTTTCAGTTTATGAAGTCTGTGCCCCACATAACACCGACACCTTTTGAGCTGAACTCCAGACATATGAAAGTCAAGCAAAGTTTGATCGGACAGTTGAAAGCAATCACTAAGGAGCACCTGGACCTGGATCTCATAATTCATACTAATGGAAACGGCATCATTAATGGCAATGGTATTCATAACGGCATTAATGGCAATGGTATTCATAACGGCATTAATGGCAATGGTATTCATAACGGCATAAATGGCACCAATAATAGCAGCAATGAATTGGTCGTCAATAGGCTTATCGAGAGGATTGATAACGAAATGGAGAATATATTCAAAGAGTTGACTAAAGATAACAGAATTGAGTACAAGAAGTGTCAGTTAGGGTTTACTATTGGCTGGAAATGTAATGTAAATCAACCCAACTATTCATACGAGAAGTTTGACGATCGGTTCTGACTTTTAATGGCTATACATGTAATTAATGGCCAAATATTTGTACCCAAAATGCAAAGTGTCTCTGATTTTTTTGCTTACTTCAAGATTTGTGCAAGTATTGTGTATTTATGTAATACCTTTCTACTGCTTGAATATTGTGTGTAATTTGAATTCTTATATTCCTTTATATTAATGAACAATATATTTATTTAAACCAGTATTTATAAATCTAATATAATGTTGTAGTGTAATATAGACTTTGACAATTCATTCAATAATTAAATGGATAATTTGTATTAATAAAAAAGTTTCTAATTTTTTATATAATGTTCAAATTGAACATTGTTTCTAATGATATCTCGTAAACATAGATTTGATTTTGTTTATTGTAATTAAAAAATGAGTTTACCATTTATAAGCAATACCCTTAATCAATATAAACCGTTTAAAAAATTATTACACGTATAATAATAAATTATCAGTAAATGATAAATTAATTACGATTAATGGGAATATTGTTAATATTATGATATTTAAAATTATATAATAATAGTAATAGTTTGTTAAATAGAGTTCAAATAAAATTAACTTAAAATAATAATTAAAATATACCCCAATAATTAAATTTATTATTTTATATTATAATATGAATGTCACTTATCAAAAGTAATATTTAGCAATTCTGTTGATATTTTAGTATTATGTGTCATAACTAGATTTAATTTGACTAAAAACTAAATTTTACATGAGTCATATATAATCACAATAATTAAAATTAGTTTTAGTTAATTAGCAAGCATCTCTATGTTTATGAATTAAAGTGTAATGTAGTGCAGGGAAGTAAGAATATGGGATCAAAAGGGCTAACAATTTCTTGTATTAAATTATTATCAATAAATATTAATTTAATTATTGTAATGTTATATGACTTAAGTGGAATTTAGTTTTTACTAAAATTAATATTATAAAATTAAATCTAATTATGATAAAGAATACTAAAATATCAACATAAATGCTAAATATTACTTTTGATAAGGGACATTCATATATAGACTCAATTAAATGTTTATTCTATTTGTTTCTAGTAAGGATGCAAGGAGCAAGGGCAAATATTTTAGTAAATTTCACAGAAATATTTCACTGAAATTTGTAACCTTAGTTACTAGTTTTAAAACCATTATAAATATCAACAAATCATACTAAATCATAACTAAATGTTATCATATTAAATATATTATACATAAAATTCGTTTAAGATAACTGGGATAGTAATATAACAAATATTTATGTCTGAATATCTGAAAATTGCCCAAATGTTTGATGTTCAAATTGTTAAATTATCACAAACTGTTTAAATTGTTGACAATTTCATAAACCATTTACTGTAAACAGGGCTACATTTAACACAAAAACAAGAATATATTTAGACTTTTATGGTTTAACTGATCGAAAGATAGTCTTATATAATAAACCATTATAATTAAACATTCAAGGCTCTTCCTTATTAAATAATATTTAGAAAATACTATTTTTTATAGATTTTATCAAATACTGTCTATTTATGAATATGTTTTCTAATTTACCATGCTCATGGTACTATTAATGTCAATCAAAATAACTATTAGAAAAGGTTTTAATTTACTCTAATACTCAATACTCAATGATGTATAAGTACATTAATATTTAAATTGATATAATCTTACCAAACAAATCAATCTTAACTATAAAAAAATCTTAACAGTTTTAATTTGTTTTAACAAATGCAAAATTTTGTTTTTATTTCCATTAGCTAAATAATCTCGACAAAATATTTTGCAACTAATTTAGTCTTATATCCCAGGATTTTATATAAATATATCAATTATCTCTGTTTATATTTTCACTTTTATTAATCTAGGTTCTTATTTCTTACTGATAATAAGTTATTTGAATACACCGGTGTATACAGTAAATGTGGTACTTTGTAATAGATCTGGTTTAAAACACATTTATTAAAGTAATAGTTAAATGACCTTACTTATATTGATATATATTTATATTTAAGTTGCATTTATTGTCATGAATTAAAATAATAATATAAGTTTGAAACACAATCTAATTGCATTGTGTGTGATATGCAAAAATGCAAATTAAACTCTATTTTTGTATTTATTGTGCATTTCAATTAATATAAAAAATAATTTGCACAAAAAATAATTGCTTTTCTGCATCTATGGAAAATTTTAGTTACAAATCTAAAGTCCCAAAATATTGCTCTTATCAGAAGTTTATTAAAATTATGCATAAATCGCGTGCTTTTCATAAAATTAATCAATTTGCCTATCACTGGGAGACTATACTTATTACAGACTAGTGGTTACTTATGGTGTCTGACCTTCACTATGTCTATGTAATTGCATTAATTATTTGATAATAATTTATGTTCACAAATAACATATAATAATTGTGTAAAAATTGATTTTTGTACTTAAAGACTTTTATGTGAATATTTTCAAAACATTACTTGTTTAACAAATATACGTATAATTAAATTGTAAAGATTGTAGTAATAAGTCGACGCCCTATTCGGTGGATATGAGAGAAAAATACATTAATTTTTTTATAGTTAACATAAATATCATCTAATTAAGGGAAATCATTTACACCTAATATTTTACGATATACTAATTGGTGATTTTTTAACAATTCAAACTTTTTAGATACTTTTAAAATATGATTAATGAATCTATTATTGAGGAATATATTGATTCAATGTATAACTTAGTTGTTATTCAATATTTATTACTTTATTGTTATTTAATATTTATTACT